CACCTTGCACTCGTCCGGTGATCATGATCAATTGAAATAAAGAGGGTCTTATTGCGGGCGCTTTTTCGTGGTTCCTTCTCTTCAATAAGTCAACAATCACAGGGCAATTCTATTTTTGAACTGTATTACCTATGAAGTGTGGTCGCGGGAATTGCCTTTAAGAACACGCATGTTCGTACTGGATGAGCTCCTCCGTTCTCGACACTGAATGTCATTTCAAGAAACCGTGTTCCGTAGCAAAAGTGAACAACGGACAGTTCATGTGGGATGTGCCTATGGAAAGTTATCTATTTCAAGAAGAGAATGCGTTAACAGTTACCCACCCCCCGCTCGAAGGCAAAACCGGAAAACTGGAAAAATTGTCGGGAAGTTCCGCGAGAACTGGTGGTTGGGAAAATCCAAAAAGGTATGTAAGATGGGGAGATGGGAAAGAGTGGGGTCGTATCGCGCCACATTTCAGGGGGAGGGGTCGTAAGGACCCGGAAAAAATCCCCAACTAATGATGTGCCCTGATGAGAGGTCAGGAGGCAGCGAGCAAGCAATTAAGCAGCTAGGTCACACCGCAGGCGATCTGTCAGTATGAGAGAAGAGATGCAAAAAAGTGGACAAACATCTCATACCCTTTGAGTGGAAAGCACCACAACTTGTCACTAAACCACCTCTGCCTCAAGTGGTTAAGCTAGGGGAAGAAATTCAGAGATGAAGTTGCTGCAAAGGTCCTTGAATTGATCCGCATCCTAGACTACGGCAACCCACTCGTAATAGCTACTTTACATGCTGACCACCTAGAGGGTGCGGCTCTTGTTGGACACGATCTTATGTTTGCTATGAGCTCAAGTCGTGGACCCCGTATGCGGGAATAACGTGAATGAATGAAGTAAGACTTTTAGAAACGTGCAGCACAACTGTTGAGGTTACCTGCAGGAGCAAAGCGTATTCCCATCCTGATTTCTTCACCAGTAACTGCATACATTTATGAAAGGCATGATTCATGAAGTGACCACCATTATCAATGTTGAACTCTTCTGGAAAACTTGTTATTCGCTTCTGGTCTGAATACATCACATGGTTCGTTAATAATTTCCACTTAACACTTGAGACTGCGGAAATACTCGGAAGAATCTCAAAAGCAGGTAATATCTATTGTTATGTGGCGCGGTCTTTCGCATTTCCGACCAACTACACAGATTCCCAATCGTGTTTGTTGGTCGGTTAGTGGTCAGAGTTCCGGAATGTGGAGATTGCTTCCCCGTTGTCCCTGAGATACTAGCAGTCTGGCCAGAGCGGTCCCAATCGACGTCGCCCTGTCTGTGGTTCCCTCACGTTCGCGGGAATGAAGGATTCATATAGGGCTGGAATAGATCAAGTTGGCGGTTCAGTCTGTGGTGCTGATCACTGACAGGATCCCCAGGGTGATCCCATACCCCTTGCCCTGACTTTTAAGTTTCGAAATACGGTCCGCTTCTTCACATTTCTTCTCACTAATGACAGTGGTTACCACACTTCTAAGTACACTGACCATTAGTTGGAAATACGGACAGCCTCGCGTTCGAAAGATGAGGAGATCAACTTCTGGCGTTCACTTCTGTCGAAACTTAAGAGTTTAACGGTCGAATAATTTGACTACATCGCTAGAGGGTATATACATGTTGACTCACTAGGACTCTGCTCAATAATTCGTGGGCTAAAGTGTTCCTTAGCCGTCCCTGAATTACTGGTTGGAAGCAGTTCCCCACTGTTGCTACAACTTGTGCTATGAATTCCGGGGGCACACTTTTCAAAAATGATCCTGGGATCTTATCAGCGATTAAGATAAGATCACCTCCTGCCGCCCACCGATGCTTTTCACGTCCAGCCTCCTATATCACTTCATGGGACCGACATCCCACCGCCGCTGTGAGGCGAGTTATGATTGTGGTGACCTGTCCCTTCTGAGAGCCCTTGTCAACACTTGTCAGCTGTTATTCACAACACTTTTCATCGCTTGCTGTGACGCGAGTTATAAATTTGCTGAACCTGCTCTTATGAACGTCGCCTATCAGTCTCTTATCACTTGATATCAGTTTCAGTCACCCACCAAAAGCTCCCGTTGCACATCTTATATCACGTACCAATTTGAACACTCTATGGTCTTGCATATGAAGGGAATTTATGAATTTTTAGGTCAAACACACATATAAACATACAATCACTCACACCGAAAGACAAACCTTAGCGACAATACAGAGGGGGGGCAAAAAAGTCACTTTCCTTCATTGACTTTGAGGCGCCCTATAAGTTACACTCCCTACACAAATCCTATCCGCAAGCCTCAATCGTGGCGTAGCGGATTCCGTGAACGGTTTTGCGACATGCTTCCAAAAACGTACGAATGCGGAAGGTGCCACGTCAGAGCCTGGCGAGCTACGCGTGGTTAAACTTCTTATCGCCGAAAACAGTAACAGTTATGGGCCTCATTCCCCTGAACCTGAGGGAACCACCGACAGGGCGACGTCGGCTGGGACCGCTCGGGCGAGGCTGCTAAAATCACAGGGCCAATGGAGATTCAAGTCGCCCAGGACTAGGATGACGATCTGTACTTTCAACGCACGGACGCTTGCATCGGAAGCTCACATCGAGGATCTGATGTTGCAAGCCAGGAAGATCAAGTACGACGTCATCGGACTGACCGAGACGAGGAGGCATCGCCCGCTACACGCCGTATACGAGACTGGAGAAGAACTGTTCCTCGGAACATGCGACAGCAGAGGCGTTGGCGGTGTGGGCGTCCTCGTCAACACGCACTTGGCCATGAACATCCTACTTCGTACGAAAGTCCTGACGACCGAACCTGGACGGTTGCCGATTGAGAAGGATTGCGCGGTTCAACTCCAGCTTTGACAATCTTCGTCGCCTACGCACCAACATCAAGCTACGACGAGGATGAGCTCGAAGCGTTCTATATGGAATTGGAGAAGTTCTACAAGGAAGATCACACCTTCTTCAAGGTATCGTCGGTGATTTCAAGGCTAAGATCGGAACAAGAAGAACGGCTGAAGAACTTCACATAACTCGAAAACTCACGGAACGGAGTGGAATGAGCAGGACGTGAAAGGCCACTGTCTGCAGCTTTATCCAATGTTGCACCCACACCATCCATGGTAACTCGCAATTCCAGAAGCCCTACTCTACGCTGGACATGGGACTCTCCTGGTACACAATTCCATAACGAGATCGACCACATCATCTGCAATCGAGGTTTTGCCTGACCGATGTCGCTGTTGTCGCTAGGTTCTACACGGGATCCAACCATCGTCTCCTTCGCGCAAGATTCCGCTTTTCGATGCGAGGAGAGAGAGCCGCAAAGTTCAAGAAGCGAAGCCCCAAGACCACCATCAACTGGGATCACTTCACTTCTCTCGCTGGGCTCTGGGAGGATTCTGTCATTGACAACATCGACGAGGAATACGAAAGGCTTGTTGCACATCTTCACGACTGCGCCAAGAAGTCAGAGGGTTCCAAGATTACCAAGAAGCGTCTATCTCTGGAAACTCTCGAGCTGATTCGCCAACGTGGAGCCGCACGAGCCGCAGGCAATTACCAGCTGACGTCTGAGCTTGCGAAGCTATGCAGAGAAGCGATAAAGAAGACCTCAAGGAGAGAAGAGCAGCAGTACTGCGGAAGCCGCAGAGGCTGGGAAGAGCGTACGCAACGCCCGCCGCGACTTCGCCAACTGTAAGACTAAGATGACCGCCCTCCGACGTCCGGATGGAACAATCACCGCATCCAGAAGGGCAATGGAGAAGGTCATCCACGACTTCTACTCGGATCTCTTTGACAGCCACGTCCACCTGCAACCATACCGCTTGGAGCTGGATGGATATGTCGTTCCTGCAGTTCTCCCTCTCGAGAGTCGACACTGTCACCTCCGTTCGGTAAACGAATCGTCGCACCCAAAAAACAAATAACAAAGCACACGCACACACCCCCGGTCCCGACATTTATCAAGAAACATTCTGTAAGAATCTTTCCGCCAGTTCTTGCTCAAAGTCTACTGAGCACGACTCCTCCACGCGCCATACCTGTCGGACAGCAAGCTTACCCACCTCGGGAAAAACGCAGCACGACTGCGTTGCTGTACAAGAAGGAGACCTGTACAACACTGGCAATTATCACCCGATCTGCTCGCTGTCTGCAGTCTACAAACTTTTCACACGAGTCATCCTGAACAGGATTGGCAGAACACTAGACGAAGGACAGCCATGCGAGCAAGCAGGGTTTCGAAGAGGATTCAGCACGATCGATCACATCCACACGGTAACGAAGCTCATCGAAGTATCGCGAGAGTACAAGATGCCGCTATGTCTCACGTTTATCGACTTGAAGAAAGCCTTCGACTCCGTTGAGACAGAAGCGGTTATCGAAGCCCTGGGCAACCAGGGTATTCCTACTCAGTACATCAGGATTCTTCGTGAGCTCTACAGCAACTTCACGACCAAGATCTCACCATTCTACAAGGAGATCATCATTGATGTGAAGAGAGGGGTCCGACAGGGCGACACCATCTCGCCGAATCAATTCAGCGCCTCTCTCGAGAACATCATGCGTCAACTGGAATGGGAAGACATGGGAGTGAAGATCGACGGTCGGCAACTACACCACCTCCGCTTTGCTGAAGACATGCGATTTTGATAACACCAAACATTCGCAACAAGCGGAACTGAAATGGCTGAATTCTACCTGCCGCGTGTGGAAAAATCGTGCCTTACGGCATGAACCTAACGAAGACGATGTTCATGAGAAACGGATTGGTATCTGATGCCCCATTCACGCTCAACGGAACGACCATCTCTGAATGCTCTAGCTATGTGTACCTAGGTCGTGAAATCAATATGATGAATGACCTAGCAGCTACAGCAGAGCTGAGGAAGCGAGCGGCTTGGGGAGCCTTCAAGAACATCGAGGGAGTAGCGAAGAAGACGAAGAACACCAAGCTCCGTGCCCACCTCTTCGATTCCGCGGTCCTTCCTGCCTTGACGTACGCCTCAGAGACTTGGACTCTACGAAAGCAGGATGAGCATGCGGTCGGTGTCTCAACCCGCCATCGAAAGGAGAGTGCACGGGGTTTCCCGCTATACGCAAGTGAGAGAGGGAATCCGGAGCTCCGCACTCCGCCAACGATCGAAGATCAGAGACGCCGCCGCATTTGCCAAGGTTTCGAAGATCAGGTGGGCCGGACACGTCATGCGTTTCGAGGACGAACCGCTGGACCAGAGCAATCACCGACTGGATTCCACGGGATGTCAAGCGAACGCCTGGAAGACCGCCTACGCGATGGTCAGATTTCTTCGTGAAAGCTCTGAACGAATGGTATGAAGTTCATCGTGTCCCTCGAGCTGAGAGAGTTCATTGGGCAACTCTTGCACGTTGCAGGGACGAATGGAGACGTTACTGGCGCCCGCTCGAGGAACTCGATGATCAACGGGAGCACAGGTGATACAGGTGATAAGTTACACTTTATAAATTCTGATCGGACATTTTTACCACCATATTAAAGAGCATATTAAATACTATTATGACACTCCGCCACAGCCTTCTGGACGAGCGCCATCGAGAGATTCTGGCACGCGATGTGGTGCCTGAGATCAGCGAGATAGTCGATTTCTCCGCCACCGTAGACCACCCTATTGAACTCCGCCCGAACCGGGTAATTGAGGGGATTCAGGTCAGGTGACCTACTTGGATATTCCACCTTCTTTAGGTATTCAGCCCCCTTCCATTCCAAGTAGGCGAGAGTTTCTCCAATGCCCTTCGATTCCATGTGGTGGCACCCAATGCTGTAGCAGTACAAAGTTTCCAAGAAGGTACGGGCGACGACATGTGAGGAGGATATTCTTCACGAGTTGCTCGATGTAACCGCCAGCGCTCACCTTCAGTCCGGGCCACGAAGAAAATATTGGTCTTTCCATTCCAGGTACGTCCGGTCCATACCATCAACCCGCGCCTTGGCGACTGCGGTGAAGATGATGTCCTAGACCGTAGCGACGTTGTCGGAGCTGCTCGATGTTGGAGGTCTTCGAGAGTACTGGTCTCCAGGTAGCTATCCATGGGTGACTCCATACTAGAAGTTTCGCAGCTGTTTGGAGGTGACATGAATTCCAAAGGTCTTCTCCAGTCAGGCTGCGACTGGAGATGACTTCATATTTTGGTGTACATGAAGGTGATGGGCGAGAGCCAGCTCCTGCTTATAGAGGAACATCTTGGGTATCTTCCGCCCTGGTACTCGTATCCACGTCCTCTGTCTGGGCAGCGAAAACTTTGCTGATATGTGACTCGGTCGAAGTGACTTTTTTTTGCCCCCCCCCTGTATATAGTAGGATAATGAAGAGCCTGAAATAAAAGAACGACTTCAAATAGATGTAACGCGCCAATTTTTCAAGAAGCTTACAGCTACAGCTACTCATAGGTTTTCTGTTAACTGACAAAATTGTGTGGAAATGATGTGAACTTGCGATACGAATTTATTGTCTTAAGAGTCTCAAGTGACACAGTGAAAACCACTGGTGCTGAACAATAATCACTCGGTGAGCGGATGACTACCAACACCCGTTGTACAGAAATGTGCATCCTGATAGAGAGCACTGTCATTCCACTGATTCCGGGTTCTCCACGAACTTATTATGGACTAACACACTCAAAAGAATGAGAAAAAAGGATATGATATGACCACGGGAATTAAAAGAAGTGTTCCGTTTCGCTTCCGCTCAGATTTGGACTTCTGTGTATCCCTAGTCTATGAGATAGGCAGACTACTCAGAAGAATATGAACAGCTATCTAGTTTTTCTTCTTTAGCAATCAAAACCCAGCTCCCTATCAAGCCCCACTTGCATCCTATTTGCTTTAATTGATGAGTGAGTGTTCTACTAGGTTTTGCTTTACTAATTTCTAGGGAAATAAATGAATAAATATATAACGAAAAAAAACAATAAGAATGGAACTGAAAGACATCCTAAAACAACGAAGAAAACCAATGAAGATTTAGAAATATATTGGGTTGGCCCATGGGTAATGGCGTTTTTTTTCAATTGGAAATTTTGTTCAAAAAGTGAAAAGTTTTGCGAGCAAGTTTGATATCATCTGATAGGAAACTTCTCGTACTATAAGAATATCGAAACAGCTTTGGGTGAGGAAATGATTTTTGTAAATTTTTAGTCGTTGAAGTTGAAAGTTGAGTCGGCGAAAATTAGTACCTTCGACAGCTGCCTCTATTTACGTCTATTCGAAGTGCTAAAATCGCTTAAGCTGCTCCATACATTTGCAATAGGTTGAGCTAGAAGTCCCAGCGAGGGAATCCTCATAGGACGCTTCGGAACTAATTTCAAGAATTTCGAAGTTGGCAACCTTCACCTCGCAGATAATGGGCAGGATCACAAGTCATCGCGTCTGTTCCACTTGAAATTTTATGCTAATAGTTGAATGTTTCGCTAATGTGTTTTGTATGCTCTGATAGCAAATTTCGTGTTCTATAACACTGCAATGGAAATCTGTTTTTCATAGCTGTTTTCAGGTTAGTAATACGGAATGTCAGGTCGATGAGAATCAGCATTCCCAACTTCTTCTCCCTACCGCTTTCCACGGAAACTTCAAAACCCTGGAGCAGCCAGGAGTTTGAGTAAAGCATTGAGTAACAGATTAATATTAGGACGGCTCACAATTGATTTTGAGAAAAGCAAAACCGACAACGCTGACCTTGCAGACATCCGGTCGACCCATACCTCACGATTTTTTTGTTTTCCTGATTAACTTTCATATTTACAACACTATAAAAAATACAGATGTTTACACTAAACTAGTCAATGATATATTCTCCATTGTTTCTTACAACCTCCTCCCACCGATCAGCCAGCTTTTCAATGCCTTCTCGGTGACTGACTGAGCTGGCTGATCGGTGGGAGGAGGTTGTAAGAAACAATGGAGAATATATTATTGACTAGTTTATTGTAAACATCTGTATTTTTTATAGTGTTGTAAATATGAAAGTCAATCAGGAAACAAAAAAAATCGTGAGGTATGGGTCGACCGGATGTCTGCAAGGTCAGCGTTGTCGGTTTTGCTTTTCTCAAAATCAATTGTGAGCCGTCCTAATATTAATCTGTTACTCAATGCTTTACTCAAACCCTGGCGAATCTATTGAGCTGCTCCAGGGGCTTTGAAGCTTCCGTGGAAAGCGGTAGGGAGAAGTCGGGAATGCTGATTCTCATCGACCTGACATTCCGTATTAATAACCTGAAATTAACAGAAAGTAAACAGCTATGGAAAACAGATTTCCATTGCAGTGTTATAGAGCACGAAATTTGCTATCAGAGCATACAAATCGCATTATCTATCACTTTTTCATGAAAGCGGCAATCGTTTCCTAACTGATGGCCAAAAAGATGAAGCGCTCGCACGGTTCTTTTCATCTGTATTTTCCACTGACAGAGGAAGCATTTCAATGTGAGTTCCGGAGCTCGCAAATGTTTGAATGTCCTCAGTGAATGTGTAGTAACCTACGACGTGGTGTACAAACGTTGAAATCATTCAGATGCTCCACTTCTCTTCCTCCCGATGGGATTCCGCAGATTGTATACAAAAACTGTGCTCTCTCTTTATGCAAGCCTATCTGTATGATTCTCAACGTTTCTCTTATGTTCTCCGAGGTCCCGCTGAGTTGGAAAGAATCTATCGTTACTGCCATTCCTAAAGATTACTGAGCCTAAGCTAGTGTCTTCCTTCCGCCCCATAAGTATAACTGCTCCGCCTGCTAAAGCTCTGGAAAAGATATTACGTGATAAAATTGTATCTCATTTAACGAAGCATAATCTTATTCCCACAGAGCAGCATGGCTTTGTCAGTGGTGCTTCTACAACTACTCTTATGGCAGACTGTGTATTTGATTGGAATCTTGCTATTAATGAAGGAAAGGGCGTGGACATAATCTATTTTGATTTGTCCAAAGCTTTCGATAAAGTGAGTCATGAAAAGCTGCTGTCGAAAATTGTGGCAGTTAGGAATCGAAGGCCCATCCTTAATTGGATCTGTTCCTATCTAAAAGATAGGCACATGTATGCAGATCCAGCGCGATCTGCATTAAAGTGAAGCGTGTATTCAGAAGAGTGAGCAGCAGAAATGGAACATTTGACGGCACTCTTACTTTTTGCGGAACTGATTCAAGAATGAGTCACTGAAGGCGATCAAAATGCTTGAAAGTGCTAGCAGAAGGCTATCAGCCCAGACAATTAGTTTAAGACCCCCTATAGAAGAAACGGGCGAACTCCTGTTTGATAAACCTGAATCCTTTCAAAGGTGTGACCAAATAGAAGCAGATGAAAGGGATAATTCAAAAGGAAATGATCACCTGGTGTTATGAGCACGTTTGGGAAGCAGACAGCAAGTTGCTTCATTTTATCATGGAAATCCTTATCAGCCTTCTGGTCAATAGAATAACAGAAGAAGTTTTGCGGGTGGTAACTAGATCGAAGTTCTTCCTCGATCAATGTGTAATCCTAAAATACGATTTTTGTGCAGTGCCGGTAGCTTCATGAATATCTAAATGCTGTAAATAACACACGTAGGCTATCTAAGTGTTCAGTGCACAAGTATCCCTGACCATGGTCAACGTGTTCTTATCTGCGCACTCTCGTTTCTGGTTGTTCTCGTCACCGGAAGAGTGTTCCGCTGCAGGACCTTCGTATCAGTGCCAGTGTTGCACCTTTAGGTGAGCGCGGGCGGAGTATGAACACAGCGTTCAAACGATACTACGCTATAGTTACTACGTTCCCGTGCACTTTTGATATTAAGGGACGCGCTCTTGCAGTTGCGGACCCATTCACCTCGCACACTACAAGGACCACCCATGGAGGAAAGTGTACAATTTGTCAGAAGGGAGTGAAGTCCCCGATTCGCTTGTTTTCGACCGCTTCGTCCTCATTGCTACGCATTTGCTTTGTTGAACTTTTCTTTGGATCCTTGGCCAGGAGGAGAATTATCTACCGTGTTCTCTGCCTTCAGAGAAGTTCCCAGAGCCAGGTGGCTCCTGAAATTCAAAAGTACACCCACTTCCCGTGACTTATCATTGTTTTTATTACCATACAGACCATATTATCTCAGCGAATGCAACAGTCTATTACTGTTGTAAATCCTCATCCTTTGGTGTGACTATCAACTGAACACATCCTTGTGCAATGATCGGGCCCGATGAATCTCGGCGCTAGTACCTTCCTTCTCTTACTACTGTTTTTTAAAGGCACATTCCGCGATAAAATAAGGCTATGACCTCTCAAATGTGTCGGACGATCCGGAAGGCGATTTTTGAGGCTGCGCTACTTTCAAAATGTGAAAAACTCCGCTAGAAGCTGACTAATTAGGCCCATGGACACCCCTTAGGCCCATGCCGACCT